GAGCAAGACAGGCACTGCCAATGGCAGTTTGAGCAGCCTGACACAGACACAGAGACGCCCACGCAAAAATCTGACAAGTGTCGTGTACTACACTGCTCCCTCATCATTCTTCTGCCAGTGCAATTGCTGACTTTGCGTTTATCCCCTTTTGCTCTGCAGTGCCTCTTTTGCTAAACTGCCAAGCTACACACTGCTTCGAATATTCCCGAAGATTTAGCGAGTGGGCAATGAGCTCGTTTGCACTTTCCAACTTATTTGTATCAACACACTTACACTGAGCACCTTTTTCATTGAGGCCTTTCTCTATTGGTAACAGCGAGTACCTTATTTGGAGGTTAGAAATCTACAGCAGTCACCTTTGCTTCTAAAAGTAATCAACAGTACTGTTGTGATGTTGATTTGATAATTGTGGACATTCTCTGCAATAAACTGGTTGATTTAATAGTAAAAGCTAAATATAGAATAGAGCATTGAGTTATAGGTCACGTAGGCAGCTTACTGGTCACCATTTGTTAGTGTCGGAAATGCAGACCGGAATCGGTATTCCCTCACTGTCTTTCCGTTTCTGTGGAAAGTCACCACAACTAGTGCAATTTGCATTAGTCAAGTCTGGGTAACAACAGTTCACCAAATATGTTTACTGACACCCGAAGGCTGCCCCACAAAGCTAACCACAATTTACTGGTCTGTCTACTTCGCAAGAAGTATATTCATTGACTGCTTTCAATACAAAGTTTGAACACCGATTGCCTGGGCAACTCTGCTGTTGGCACTCCTCGATTGCGTCAGCTCAAGCAAAAGTAATACCATATTTAGGCAGTGCGCTTCTTCGAGTGATTGAGCTCGGCTGATAATGCGACGGCTGCGATGGTGGCGGCGGCGGCCAATTGTTCGACAGAGGAGACACTGTGAGTGGCGAACCAGTTGGTGAGTGAAGTAGTCACACTGACTGACACTTGCCAAAGTTGGTACTGTCAGCGGCACTAATTGTCTGTTGTCTGTAATTCTCCACCACTAAGCTGTCGATTGCATCCCTCTTTTGATGACTCACCCTCACACTCGCCTATTATCTGGACAACGCCAATGAGAAACGACGGAAACGATTCGGTCAATGTCAAACCCTGTTTGCCTACCAGAAAGTTATATGCTCCAACAAAACAGTTGACATTGGTCATGCAAATGACTGCTCGGCTCTCTGAGACGACCCAATTCTAGACGGGATCTCCAATGTTCAAATACAGTGAGTTTTTCTGCATGCTATTCGGCTCTCATCAGTGAGAGTAGTACTCTCGCAAAGTGCACAACGAAGAGGAGAACAGTGAAACGAAAAGGCAACACCGAGACATGAAGCACTTCTGCCCCGTGCTGTCCACTCGATGCTGCAAGGCTAGTGAGGAGTTGTTGCTAGCGCTGTTCTACCATTTGTCTTCACCACCACTGGTTCGTCTGCAGTATTAGGGGTAGAGGAGTGACGAGTAGTACAGAAGAGCAGCCAGTACAGGTTGAGTGGGAAAAAGGAAAAGAAAGAGCGAGAGAATGAATTCAGTTGGCGTGCCAAAGCGAATGTCAGTGGTAGAGAGAGAAGGGAGAAGGGAGAAGGGAGAAGGGAGAAGGGAGCGAGCCAGTGGTAGTGTACGCTAAAGCGTAGTGTTGATGGCTTCGAGGCAGCAGCAGCAGTGGTCGCGTAGACGACAACTGCCGCACTCCAGCACTCACTGGCGCCCTGTATATAAATATAGATGTGTAGCTGTAGCGCATCGTCACAGTAGTAGCACAGCACTCGAAGCAGCACAGCACCACTCGACCACCACTTTCACTTCAGCACCAGACTGATTGAAGCAGCCACCAAAGAGCAAACCCGGCAACCTACCGATCAAATCATCGCCAGCGACCACCTCGAAGAGCACAATGGCACCAGAGCGTAAAGTGACCGTTCAGCAGTCGGACTCCAACCTGATCGACCAGGAGTTCAGCTCGATTAGAGCCCGCTTCGACGAGGAGATGCGCAAGATGGAGGACGAGATGAATCGCTTCCGCGGACAGCTGGCCGACCGAGAGCGCACCTTCTTCGGGCCCAGTCTGACCAGTTCGAGCACCTCTGAGAAGCACTCCTCCCTCGGACGCAGCAGCAGTCCTATTGGCGGCAGTGGCCAACTGACCCACTGGCTCGATGACATCAACTCACCACTGGTGCAGGATGGCGACGACGGAAAGGTGCTCAAGTTACGCTTCGACGTCACCTCCTATGCTCCTGAAGAAATCGTCGTCAAAACTATTGACAACCGACTGCAGGTAAGCTGAAACTGCCACCAGTCCATTAGCACATCCAACTAGCCCTGGCGCCCTTGGCATCATTCTCACTCAATCGCATCCAAAGTATAGCGATTCAGTTGAAATGCACTCTCTAACTAACTGAATATGCTGACATTCGTTGTATAGCCTTTGCCACTTTGTCAGCGCTCTGTGTCAAGTGTTGCACTTCAACGTATACACTGATTCAGAGTTTATTTGCCCAGCCATCATCACATTGTTGACACACTCAACCGACAGTTGTGCTACCTGACAACTTTATTGATTAGAGCCAGTCTTCTCACACTAATAGCCATTGTAAAAGTGTACAACAGTCAATCTTCTTCTGCACCTTGACACCGAACAATGTCTTGTCAATGGCGCCTCAAAGTCGTTGCTAACGATGCTATTCCGTTTTACACAGGTGACATTTGCTTCAACTTTACACGAGCAAACTAGGCACAATTGTACATTAGCATTCTATTTCTGGCGGTTCATCAACAGAGTGCTTTAAAGTAGCAGTGCATTTGTTTCCAGACACTTCGACTACTCTGTTGGCCGCAACTGCAGTCATCCTTTCGGCACTTTTTGTTGCAGTCGGGCACTTTTATTGTTCGCATTAATTAAGCGCCGTGTAGGACGATATCTCAATGAGAGACAGAGAGCACAGCACTGTACGTGTCCTTTACAGCGAGCATGCATTTACATAGAGCGAGCATTTGCATCAGCAGCATTCCTGGCGCACTGTAGCCCGGCTGCTGGTGATCAGTAGAGCACAAGAGCACCACTGTACACCTGACATTTGGACAGTGTTTTGGCTGGCACGTTTGGGCGCGGTGCTTAAGCTTACCGGTTAGTCTACAGTACAACGCACGAGAATCGCTCATTCAGTGCCTACTTGAACAAACAATTAGCTTTTGCCCTTTACCTACTGCCCATTTATACCACTGTTAAATGAGGTGCTNGGCGCGGTGCTTAAGCTTACCGGTTAGTCTACAGTACAACGCACGAGAATTGCTCATTCAGTGCCTTCTTGAACAAACAATTAGCTTTTGCCCTTTACCTACTGCCCATTTATACCACTGTTAAATGAGGTGCATTAAGCAAACGATAATTGCATAAGGTTAAAAGTTCATTCAAAATGCACCATGATTGCTATAATGGATTAGATTAGATTTCTAGAGCACTTACTACAAGTGAGTTTTAGGTTTAACCGCTAATGGCGGCATTTACTATAGACAAACTTAAATGAGTCTAATTTGGGTAAACTTTCAGCAAATCAGGCATCTAATTATAATTATGCCACCACTAGTGCTTGTTGAAAAGCCTTTCATTCAAAGTTGAGCTAGCCATTTGAATTGTAAACAAAATCACCGAGCAAAGCTGTTCTGGAAATCAACTAAACCAGCCAGCTTTACAAATCATCACTAATTCTCAACAGAACCCTTGCATCTTCTTCGCTTACTGAACTGACTGTTTGTTGAACCTAAAAATATCGGTTTATTGCTACCGGGTACTGTCATTAAGTGGCTATTAATAGCCGCCCACTTGTTTACACAACCAGTTGAACATATGTTTGCTTTACTTTGACTTCTGACTAGGCCAATGCTGGCGCTCAAACGAGGGATCACTTGTTCACTGCCATTGAATTGGCTACTGCAGGGTCTGGCATTCATTTAACATTGTACTGATTTTCTGTTTTCTTTTATTTTCAATTTTTTTCAGGTGCACGCAAAGCACGAAGAAAAGGGCGATAACCGATCTGTTTACCGAGAGTACAACCGCGAGTTTCTCCTGCCGAAGGGTACCAATCCTGAGATGATTCGCTCCAGCCTGTCAAAGGACGGTGTACTGACGGTGGAGGCACCGCTGCCGGCACTTGAACACCGAGACGGTGATCGTCGAATTCCCATTCAACACAAGTAAAGGATGAACTCTTGGCGCAGAGAAAGAGAGGGGACGTGGAAATGACGTGGTCGATTTACTGCAGCACTGGCTGATTACAACTCGTTTCGATTGCACCAAGATCGTTCTAACTTCTGTCTTCCAATTCACGGGCGATTGCCACCACTCCATTACCGTACGACACACACACACCGGTTACGTTTCCTCTTCTTTTTTGCCATCACATTTCCCCTTACTAGCATCACTAGCAGACTCATTCACACTCACACACACCGACCATGACTAATGAGAACGTGGACGCAGGCTCCTATTACTTAAGGAGCCAGTGCAGCTCTCCCACCGACCAGTACCCAACACTCAGTCTTCGGCTGGTGCTCGGTGGTCAGGGCTCATCTTTCACTCATTCTCTTTTTTGAATAGCCTTACACCTGTGTTCATTCCTAAATTGTCTCCAACTCCATCTTCACATCACTTTTCACTTTTCAAAGTGCTGCGTCCAAGTATTTTTTGTTTAATTCATTTCCGCCCCTTTTAAATTTGTCATTGTAATAGTTGTTTCCAAGTCATTGAGTTCACAGCCCATGCACAGCGTCTTGAAAACGCAACACATGTTTTGATTGGACTCAGTAACTGAAAAAATAAACAATTTGTTCTTTTAGTTTCATTAACTTTATTCATAAAAAATTGAAAACAACTATTCTGCTGGAGGTGGGACCTCAATGACCAAGCTGTTGTCAAAGTTGAGCACGACCCAGTTGTGTTCAAATATCTTGGCGACATCTATTCGCGCTGCCTCATCAAATTCAAACATCGCCATCATCAAATTTTTTGCTTCTTCTGACAGGTGACTGCCAAATCTGTAAAAGTGAAGAATTGTGTGTTAAGGTAAGTTGTTTATTTTGTTTAATCAGTCAACAACTCACCTGCCGGCAATGAACAGTTTATCCTGATGCTCTCTGTACATTACTTTGCGATCTTCGTAGTGAAAAATGTACTTGTTGTTTAGCATGGTGAACAGCACCACACCGAGTGACCATATATCTCTGCGGAACATACTAAACAGTTGAATGAAAGTCAAATAAGTAAGGTATACATACGCTTTGAAGGCATTGTAAGGTGTCTTGCTAATGATTTGCGGACTNTTGCGATCTTCGTAGTGAAAAATGTACTTGTTGTTTAGCATGGTGAACAGCACCACACCGAGTGACCATATATCTCTGCGGAACATACTAAACAGTTGAATGAAAGTCAAATAAGTAAGGTATACATACGCTTTGAAGGCATTGTAAGGTGTCTTGCTAATGATTTGCGGAGATCTTACAAAACATAAGTTTAAAGATCATGTGTAAAGTAATGTTAAATAACGATCTTACAAATATGGCCGAGTACCACACCAAGTGCTGCACTTTTCCGGCTCATTGTCGTCTCCGTGAAGCACGTGCCGTGAAAACCCCAGGTCAGTGAGTTTAATATTTCCTTCTTCCGTAATGAGAATATTATCTATAAGGAATTATTTCGTTTAATCTTTTTCAAGTTCTGTGATGTACTTTTTCTTACCAATCTTTATATCTCGGTGAGCAATGTGCAAAAAATCGTGCATGTAAGCCAGTACGCAGCACATTTGATAGAACCATTTACAAGCCTTTGGCTCTTCCATCGGTTTATGAAGTTTGCGTAAATACTTCGTAAGATCCCCTTTTGTTGCTTTTTCCATAAAAATGAAGATGCGGTTCATCATGCGAAATATGTCGTATATCTGAAAAGTTTTTAGAACACATATTTAAAATGCTCATTTTAATTTTACCTTTATGACATATTCATGTTGTACTTCTTTGAGACTCTGAAGCTCTCTGGGTAAGAACTTGTGAAGATATTTTTCATTCAACGAAGACAGGTCGATTATTTTGACGGCAATGTTTCGGTCTGGACGTTTATGATTGATGGCACAATACACCTGCAAAAATATTTAGAATAGAGAGTTTGATAAGAATAAATATAAAAAAGTCACTTACGTCAGAGAAGGCTCCAGCTCCAAGTTTCTCTTTGATTTCGTAGTGATAATTTCTGAGAATTTGTTCAGAAGTTGCATCAAGAACCAGTGGGTTTCTCACTGACTTTGGGGCATGACGAGCACTAGTTTTTTCCGGAATGTGCGGGGACTCGGAAGTATCTCGGTTCACTTTGCTCACTATAGAAGACGTGTTTTTGGTTTTAATCATGTTATGCTTGCTGATGCTTTTGTGAGTCTCATCATTCGACACCTTGCTTCTGCTTTTTGTCATTGAATAAAAATGGTTGAAAATACACTAAAACAGATACTAAAACGGATTTTCGTCTTTTCAGCTTTCTTAAATCACCCTATTTGTTCTACATTTAAAACAGCAAAAGTGAAAAAGGTTTTCGAAATTATCAACATTCGAATCGCTCGCAATTGCCATCTAGTGACTTCACGACTTAACGTAAAAATTCAAATTCAAATTACTCTTTAGAAAAGCAAGAGAGAATGAAAATGCATTGTGGTAGATAAATCAGAGCACCAGCTTCAACTGGTGTCGCCATGTCGGCGCGTTCTTCCTCTGCGCAGTCCATCAATTGCTCCCGTATTTTTAGCCGCGTGTTGCGGTGTTCAGTCGCCGAATTCAGTCTCCACTCGGTCTCTTTTAGTGTATCTTTCGATGACAAGGATAGTGACTCTAGGTGGGCGAAAGCGACTTCTACGGCTGTAGACTTGGTGGCACAACTGCGGTCGTTGTTGCCTCAATTGACTGCCTGCTAGAATCGAATTTCGCGAGAAACGGTGCCTCCCGTTAACCATTTGGTGCCGTTTGCGCGAGGTTGAGAATGACGTCGACGGGCAGCGAGTCACCACCGGAACGGCCATGGCGGCCATGCACAGGAAAACTACCTAATGAGTGAGTCAGGTGAAGGTGTCGAATTACCATTTGGAGACTTGTTCCGACAATTCGCCTTACTCTTATTGCCGTCTTATCGATCAGCAGAGCGATTCCTTTACAGTGCCAATAGGATTCAACAGAGTCAGCACTTTTCACTTATCGCTGGATCTACGCCAACGACTGTACACTACTCTAATGAACTCTTCAAAGCAGTTTTCGGTGTGTTACTTTACAATTGACCTGACGCCAAGTTCGCGGTCACAACCTGCTGCTGCTGTTGCCGCTGCTGTTGTTGACATTGGAAGATGCTCAGAGGCAGACACTGTTGTTCACTAGACAGATTCTTGAACGGGTGTTCATGTGACTGC